TGTATATAGACTCGAAAAGCGTATATGAACATATACCAAGAGAAGGAATTGCTGTTAGAACTTGTCTTCTCCATAAGAGAGTGTGAATATATACGTAGAGAGATGTTTATTTGTTGTCAATAAGGTTTTCAGATTTTGTTTTGTGACTATTGTGAAGTTCTCAGTTATGTTATTCTTGACTCTATGCAGAGAAGAAATGGCCGGACACAAGGTTGCACATGCCACATTGAAAGGCCCGAGTGTTGTAAAGGAACTGATTATCGGTTTGACACTCGGTTTAGCTGCTGGTGGTCTATGGAAGATGCACCATTGGAATGAACAGAGGAAAACCAGAGCTTTCTACGATTTGCTTGAGAGAGGTGAGATCAGTGTCGTCGCCGCTGAAGAGTGAATCAAAAGCCTCTCTCACTCTCTCGATGTTATCGGCTCGTTTTTTTCTTGTTTTAAATGATTTCTTGTGATCTTCAGATACCTGAGAAAAAGAGTTGCTTAAGAAATAAACAAATCTGAGATCAGATTGATGTTTTTGTTTAACATATTGTTTTCCTAAGATGCATACATACTATTCCCATTGTTAAATTTCAGACATCTTTCTTGACTTTTTTTTCTTCAACAGATAAGTATTTTGCCACTTTTTTCACTGTTTTCGTTGTTAATTAAGTCCCAAATGTTCTTTAAAAACGTTTTCGACGGCTGCAAATATTTCATAGTTCGATCGAATAAAAAAGAATATCTGAAGAGTATTCAAATACGTGGAAGTGTATCGTTGGTTAGAGGAGGATAAGAAATGGGGTTCACATAATTAATTAAATTCACGTACGCTTTATATACATACTCTTCTTCGCTCCAATTTATCTACATTATCTTCTTCTATCAAAAAGAAAAAGAAAACAAAAATTCAAAGTTTTGAGTATATTTTTTTCTCCATCCAACGATGGCAACTATAGCTACTACTAGTCTTAACATGGCAACCCAACGAGCCATCGTCACCAGCGAGAACCGACCAGTTCGTCTCGCTGGTCCGGTCCGTTTGAACAATCCGTGGAATCTTGGTTCAAGAACAACGAACCGGATGGTGAAATTAAGGCCGGTTAAAGCAACTCCTGAAGGAGGGATATCGGATATAGTGGAGAAGAGCATTAAGGACGCACAGGAGACTTGCGCGGGCGACCCGGTGAGCGGAGAGTGTGTAGCTGCGTGGGACGAAGTCGAGGAGCTTAGCGCAGCAGCTAGCCACGCTAGAGACAAGAAGAAAGCCGCTGGTGGCTCAGACCCTTTGGAGGAATACTGCAAAGACAATCCTGAGACCAACGAGTGTCGTACTTACGACAATTGAAGTTGAATCGGATTTGTATATCACCCACGGTCAGGTTGGTAATGTAATGCGATATGAATGCTAGTCTTTGAGACTCGAATAGCTCTATAAACATTGTACCTTGGATGATTTATATACGCAAAGAACGAATACAAGATCAATAACAAAGCTTGAATTCATTAAGAAACATAATAGAAACCAAATTTCATAACAAACTTATCTTATGTTAAACAACACAAGACTAGATAGATGACTATGGCTAGAAAAAACCAGACAACTTGAAATTACAGATGGAAAAAAAAACACAAAGATTGAAATTTATAGAAATGACACACGACTGAATTCAACAATGACTCTAATTGTTACAAAACTCGAACCATCACAAGAAGAAATCAATGAGTACCAAGAATCATCAGCATTCAAACATTGAAGTCATGATTGGTTGTTGCATTGGACAAGGAATCTGCCATGGGTTGTGCATAGACTCGGGAATCTCTGGCTTATCCAAATCCTGACCACTAATTTCTTCAACCATTTCAAGAACAGAGTTCAACGATCTTAACCTGTCAGTTAACTCCAAAGCTTGTGCTCTCAAAACATTGTTCTTAGACTCCATTTCAATGTATTTCCTTGTAGCTACATCGACTTGCTCAGTGATTTTAGCGTTATCGTTCTTGAGAAGAGTCACTTCGTTGATCAAATCACCAAGCTGCTTCTGTTTCCTCATCCTTGATCTTCGAGCTGATTCTCTGTTTGAAATCATTCTCTTCCTTTTCCTCTCGTCAGTGACCGTCGCGTACCTCGGATCATTGTCGGAATCAGGACTTGTCGACCCCATTTCCCGGTTGACTTTTTGACTTTTTCCTCAACCAAAAAAAAAAATTGAATATACTTTTCTAGATTTCCTATAAATACGGTGATTTTTAACCCAAATTCTCTAAATTCCCAATCTACCAAAAGAATTAGTTATACCAAAACGAAGAATAATCTCAAAAAAATATCAGATCGGGAAAACGATTAGTTCATGAGAAAACGTAAGAATAGTAGAGGTAAACGACGGAGAAAGAGTGTAGAATACGAATCCGACGAAACAGGATTGAGTAGTTCATAGAAAATCCAGAATCATTCCTGCTTTTTTCAGAATCCCAAAAAAAAACCTAGATCTAGATCTTAAAATCAGAACAGAGAATAGATCTGAGAAGGAAAACAGAAAGGAGCAATCAAATCTAAACTTAGCTGCTTCGAGGAGAAGAAGACGATGATAATGATAAATCGAAAAAGGGTAAGATCGGAAGGCGAACGAAAGAAGGGGATAAAGGAGTCCCAAGGGTTGCTTATAAAGGAGAAGATGATGGTGGTGAGCTGGTGAAGGATTTTTCCA